TTAAATAATATTTAAACAATACATGTTAGTTTATTAATTTTTTCACACCCACCACCTGCAGGAGGGGCCATACGAGTCAGGTGCATGATGCCATGCCTTGGTTCTCTGACCCTGGCTTACCAAAGCTGCTCTTGAGACATGGAACGTAACCTCTATGGTGGGGAAGGAGCCCGAGCTCGTGCATGAGGCCCGAGCTCATGCATGAGGCTGAGAGGTACTGACTAGATCTAGTTGGGCTCACCTTGATGAATATCATGGGCTCTGGAACGGATCTCCTTGAGACAGGCTGGGCCTTATTCCTCTCTGGAGTTGCCCATGGTGAGAGCTGCCGAGCTGGTGTGGGTCTTAGCCCCCTGACTTGGTGCGTTCTTTGAGGTCAGCAGACCAGTTGCTCCTCACAGTTCCAGGAACTCGTCTTAAGCGCAGAGGTGACAGGACCTTCTCTGTAGCAGGACCAAGACTTTGGAACGAGTTACCTCTGCTTGTCAGACAGGCCCCCTCCCTCTCGGTTTTCAAGTTCCATTTAAAAACTCACTACTATTCAGTAGCTTTCAACACCAGAGGATCTGTGTTTGATCCTGTATGTTCCACACTGGTTTGTCGTCATTATCTGCATCGTTTTTATGTCTATATTCTGATTTACCTCATTTTGTATTTTGCTTCATGTGTTACCTGTTGTTCTGTCTGTACAGCACTTTGGTTGGCCTTGTAGCTGTTTTAAGTGCTTTATAAATAAAGTGGTATGGTGCCTGTGTGTTGGGGTTTTCCCCAATAGATGGGGGGGTGGCTTCCCTGCGCTTTCAGGTGGGGGGACAGACTCTGACTGTTGTTGTGCCTACGTGTCAAACATCAGTTGAGAGTATCCGGCCTTATTGGAGGCCTTGGTGGGGGTGATGGAAGGTGCTGCAGCTGGGACTCCTTTATTCTGCTTGGGGGACTTCAATGCCCACGTGGGTGGGAGGAACGGCCTCTGATCTGAACCCGAGCATGTTCTGTTGTTGGGCTTCTGTGCTCGTCATAGTTTGTCCATCACAAACACCATGTTAGAACATACAGTAAGGGTGTCCATAAGTGCACTTGGCACCAGGACACCCTAGGTCATAGATCAATGATTGATTTTCTAATTATGTCGTCTGATTTGCGGCCATTTGTTTTGGACACTCGGGTGAAGAGAGGATCTGAGCTGTCAGCTGATCACCACCTAGTAGTAAGTAGGCTCAGATGGCGGGGGAAGATACCAGAAAGACCCGGTAGACCCAAATGTGTAGTGAGGGTTTGCTGGGAACGCCTGGCAGAAGAACCTGTCAGAAAGATCTTCAACTTACACCTGAGAGAGAGCTTTAACCACATCCTGGCTGAGGTGGGGGACATTGAGTCAGGGTGGGCCATGTTCTGTGCCTCAAATGTTGAGGTAGCTGCCTTGAGCTGTGGCCACAAGGTTGTCGGTGCTTCTCGTAGTGACCATCCTCAAACTTGGTGGTGGACACCTTGGGTTAGGGAGGCTGTCAAGCTGAAGGAGGAGTTATATCAAGCCTTGTTGGCTGGTGGGACCCTGGAGGCAGTTGAGGAGTACTGGAGGGCCAAACAGTCCACAGTTTTGGCTGTTGCTGAGGCAAAAGCTCAGATGTGGGAGGAGTTTGATGAGACCTTGGATAAAGACTCTCGGTCGGCTCAGAGGAGATTCTGTCAAACCATCAGGCAGCTGAGGAGAGGAAAGCAGTGCTTTATTAACACTGTGTTCAGTGATGGTGGGGTGCTGTTGACCTCAACCAGTGATGTCGTCGGGAGGTGGAAGGAATACTTCTTGGACCTTTTCAATCCCACCGGCATATCTTCCATGGAGGAAGCTGAGTCGGGGGACTTCGGGTTGGTCTGTCCGTAATCGTGAATGAGGTCTCTGAGGTAGGTAAAAAGCTCAGAGGTGGCAGAGCTCTGGGGGTGCATGAGATTCACCCTGATTTCCTTAAGGCTCTGGATGTTGTGGGGCTGTCTTGGTTGACATGCCTTTGCAACATTGCGTGGACATCGGGGGCAGTGCCACTGGATTTGCAGACTGGGGTTGTGGTTCCCCACTTCAAAAAGTGGGATTGGAGGGTGTGCTCCAGTTACAGGGCATCACTCTCCTCAGCCTCCCTGTAAGGTCTATTCAGAGGTACTGGAGAAGTGAGTCCGATCGTTGGTCAAACCTCAGATCCAGGAGGAACAATGTGGGTTCTGTCCCGGCCATGGAACACTGGACCAGCTCTTTACCCTCACTAGGGTCCTTGAGGGGTCATGGGAGTTTGCCCATCCAGTCTACATGCGTTTTTTTGGACTTGGAGAAGACATTTGACCGTGTTTCTGAGGGTACACAGTGGGGGTGCTCCGTGAGTATGGGATTGGGGGCTCGTTGTTACAGGCTGTTCAGTTTTTATTCAAGCGGTGTGAGAGTTTGGTTCTCATTTCTGGTAGTAAGTCAGACCCTTCAGGGTGGGAGTTGGACTCCGCCAGGGCTGCCTGTTGTCACCGATTCTTTTCATAACTTTTTTTGGACAGAATTTCTTTGTGCAGTCAGGGGGAGGATGGAGTCTGGTTTGGTGGCCTCAGGATTCATCTCTGCTCTTTGCAGATGATGTGGTCCTATTGGCGTCATCGTGCCGTGATCTCCAGCTCTCACTGGAGCGGTTCACAGCTGGGATGAGGATCAGCACCTCCAGATCTGAGGCCATGGTTCTCAGTCTGATTGTTCTCTTCAGGTTGAGGGTGAAGTTCTGCCTCAGGTGGAGGAGTTCAAGTATCTCAGGGTTTTGTTCATGAGTGAAGGAAGAATGGAGCGTGAGATCAACAGACAGATTGGTGCAGCATCTGCAGTATTGTGGACTCTGTACCGGTCTGTTGTGGTGAAGAGGAAGCTGAGCTGTAAGGCAAAGCTCTCTGTTTACTGGTCGGTCTACGTTCCTCCCCTCACCTCTGGTCATGAACTCTGGTAGAGACTGAAAGAATGAAATCGTGGATCCAGGAGGTTGAAATGGGTTTCCTCTGCAGGGTAGCTGGACTCTCCCTTAGAGACAGGGTGAGAAGTTCAGTTATCAGGAGAGACTCGGAGTAGAACAACTGCTCCTCCACATTGAAAGGAGTTGAGGTGGTTCAGGCATCTGGTAAGGATGCTCCCTGAGCTCCTCCCTAGAGAGGTGCTTCGGCTATTTCTGACTGGAAGGAGACCCCCAGCAAGACCCAGGACACGCTGCAGAGACTACGTCTCTCTGTTGGTCTGAGAACACCTTGGAGTCCTCCCAGAAGAACTGGAAGAGGCTGTGGAGAGAGATGTCTGGACCTCCCATCTCAAGATGCTGCCCCGAGACCTGAGTCCAGAACAAGAGGAAGATGATGGATGGATGGATGGATGGATGGATGGATGGATGGATGGATGGATGGATGGACGGATGGATGGATGGATGGATGGATGGATGGATGGATGGATGGATGGATGTAGTGGATGGATGGATGGATGGATGGATGGATGGACGGACGGACGGACGGATGGATGGATGGATGGATGGATGGATAGATGGATGGATGGATGGATGGACAGACAATAAGATGATCAAATGTAAATAAATTAAACTGCTTTTGTTCAGTTTATGGTCAGAACCAGAAAGACAATAAAAAATGCCATTAAATCAAACGAAATGTTAAAAAACGTTAGAAACTAAAATACTAGGGAGAAGAAAACGAGTTCTCTGTTTTGTGAGGAAAACAGGAACAAGAATGTTTGAGCAGAAACATTGAAAAGTCTCGTCAAACTACATCCATTAATTTCCTCTGAAACGGAGACAGAAAGACTGAAGACAGGAGAACCTGGAGAAGACGAGGAAAGATTGGGAAAATAATAAATATATGCTCGGAAGAGTTTTGGAAAGTTTTGACTCTAACTTGAACGTCGTTAAACTTGTATAAAAAACGTGTTAAAGTTCTGGAAACAGCAGTCCAGTCCAACTTCCTGTGATGGTTTAAAGTGAAGGATGGTTCTGGGGTCTGAGCTGCAGGTCCAGCTGAAACCAAGTACCAGGACGTCTTTGGGGCAGTTTCTAGTCCTCTCCATCACACGATGAGCTGCTGCTGCAGGTGGAGCTCAGTGATCCTGAACGTTCAGATCAGAGTGTTTTCAAGGAAGATCCTGAAGGTAGAAGTCAACAACAGGTGAATGGTCCCCAGATTACAGGTGTGAGCCGGTCCACTCTGATATAAAGGCTGCGCTCGTGTTCACGTCAGTCACACCTGTGTGTTCAGAGTCCCACCTGTCATTAACGACCTGATGATGTTTGTTTCTGCAGCGCCGCACTCTCATTAATCCTGACGACACAACGAGACACAGCTCAGCCTGCTAATCACAGGCTGCTGTGTGTTATTACACACACACACACACACTGACACACACACCGTGACACACACACAGTAACACACACACACACACTGACACACACACCGTGACACACACACAGTAACACACACACAGTAACACACACACACACACTGACACACACACACACTGTGACACACACACAGTAACACACA